GGATTGATCAGATCCTCCGTAATCTGTTCCACTTTTTAACTTCCTATGTAACATTTTTCTTAATGTCTAACTAAATCTCCCTTGGTGCACATTTACTCAAAATTACTTCTCATCTTACATCCCACGACAGTGGAGAGCTATCTATCACTGCCCGCTTCTGAACCATCTTGTTTGCATATTTAAGTGCTCTGATTTTGTTTCTTCACAGCCTTCATCCTAAACAAAGAAAACATAGTTCTTTCAGCCTTTCCTCACCCTGCAAAAACATTTATAATTTCAATGGAATTCCTCTGGGGTCTTGTCATCTTCCTTAGCATGTGTTGTCCCGTCAAAAAGGTGGACCCAAACTCCACTAGAATCCTCACTGGAGCTGAGAAGTGCAGGATAATTTCTTCCTGTGATAAATACGCTGCAGTCATCCCACGCTTTGTGTGTTTCTCTGTTGCTTTTTCTTGATCAGTTTGTAACTACCGCCCACTCCATGGTCACATCTCCCACACCGCTGGCAAGCCACTCATTTCCTAAGCTTAATTCTCCATCCTCTCTTTTCACATTTGCCTTACCCAGTGGCACTTTTGCTTCTGTTCAGTGTCATCCTCCTGATTTCAGACAGTACCTTTGACAGATCAAGATAATTTTGAATTCCAGTCTTGTCCTGCACATCATTTGTGACCCCCTCCTTGTCTTCTGTCAGCCACAAATTATATAGATCTATTCTCTATTCCATCGTCTGAGTCATTATGAGAACATTGAACAATACCAGACCCAGGATGGACTCTTGGAGACCTTCTTAATCTGAAAACATGCCATTGCTGCTCTTCTTGGAGGCCAGTATTCATGAGCACCCACTTCACCATGATTGCTTAGAGGCCATTCTTATGGGTGCATCACATGGACCTGTGCCAAATAGCTTGTAAAAGTAAAGTCATACAATGTCACCTCTTATTTTCCTGGCCAGTCTTATCTACATGATTGGTCTATAATTCATCTGGTTCCTTCCTCACCTTCTTTAAAAAAGGCATTTCTTTGCCCTTTTCCGCTCCTTTGAGATCGCATTCTTGATGAGCTTTGGGAGGATTAAGATATTACTTTTCTACCATTTCTTGTAGTTTATACACACAGACTCTTTGACAAGTACCTGCAACCCTTGAGAGAACATATTTCTGGGTAAGCAGTTGTTTGGGTTGAGGGAGGAGGATTTTAAAACGGTATTTGAAGAGAAAATCTCTTATTGTATGATAAGTGTGGTGGGGTATGATGTGAAGCTACCTGGATGTCATGCTGAAGGTCGTGCCCAAAATAGTCTTCAAAGTGCTTTATCTCCTTAAAACTGCTGCTCATCTCATCACCAACCATATGTCCCAGCTTGGGTAACGTAGAAGTTCAGGGTCTTGCACTTCTTTTTCTCAGAGAAGGAGAAACCCGTAACATGCATGCCAGATCCATTTCTGCTCCCAATTTATGAGTGTGTACCTGTCCATCACGAGCATAAGCATCCCTCTCTGCATCCTCAGCCTCGCTCCATCAACTGCTCCTTGGTTAGTTGTTAACCAAGAAACAACCCCTCCGTAGGAATCATCTGCAAACAGAGACCAGGACAGATGGAAAGTCTTTTTACTCTTTTTATTTTTTTTGCACAGTGTAAATTGTTTTTCAGGTTTACATCTTTAAAAATTCTGAAACACTGGATGGTATCAGGAGCAGGAAATTGATGCACAGCAGAGAAGGGTAGAGCAGGAAAAGGAGTGGGGGGGTTAAGTTATCCTAAAACTTTAATAAATAGAAAAATAAAATTCATCAGCTGTGCAGGTGGATCATCAAGAGGTAGGTCAAGTTCTGACTTACAAACAAGGACATTATAAGAAGGAATTGGGTTAAAAAAGGAAAAATGAAACAGTATTAAGATGTCTTTAGTGGCATCGGTGAACAAGGCATAGAAATCCGTGCTGTCAGATCCTAAGCACTCAGTGCTTCAGCCTCCAGAAATGTTCCTCTGTTCATGAGACAGGGTTTGGACTATCTACTAACACTGAAAATAATTGTTAAAAATAGAAGCCAGCGCAATGTGCCTGCCCCCAGGAACAGCAGGGAAGAAGGACAAGTCCCTCAGATTGAGATTAGATCCCAAAGAACTCAACAGGAATATTCAGAGAAAATATTTTTCTTTGCCTGCCAAGGGAGATGTTTTCAAGACAATGGCTGGAGATGTGTTTTCTTTTAGGCTGTTAGCTGCCCCTCTTGGGTCCTTGCAAATTGCCCTGATCGAGCAGACTTTGAAAAGTCCGCATTTTCAGCGTCCCTGATGGGAGTTGTTACTTGTACAAATTTCCCTCTGGGTTTTAATTTGCTGCTGAGGCTTTTGACAGGAAAGCGTAAGAATTATTTGAGGGAAATGAGGGCACTGCAACACACAAAGTTGATATACTGAAAGATTGAGAGGGGACAGCAAAAGGCTACAGAAATGGGTCAGGAAATGGGGCATGGCAAGAGATATCTATTTTAAAATCAGAAATGTGAGCTATTCGAGAGAAAGTAAAAGTGAATTGACATGCACACAGACTCTGGCCAAAGCCAGGTGATTACAGAAATTCTGCTTTGACAGATAAGAAAGATTTGCAGAGTTTGGTTCCTGGAATTAAACAAGATAACAAATCTTCTTTCTGAGGTGTTACGAAGAAGGGCTCTAAATGAAATGGGACTGCCAACCCGGACAGGGAATTTTGGAAGCCAAAGAGAGAGGAAAGCAAGCACCTGAGATTTAGCTAGCTATGTAACCCAAATATGAGCCACCCAGCCTGGAAATGCCCCTCTAAACGACTCAGGACAAAACTCTTCTGCACTTTGCAGACTGGTGGCATTGGTTTTCAGAAATACTCTGGAAACAGCATCTTAATGTGTAGAAGGATGTCTTTGCTGCAGAAGACATTAAAGAAAAATATTCCAGTAAGGAAGATGGATCCCAACAGAGAAATGGACACAAAATTCATTGTTCCCAAAGGGAAAAGCTAATTTATCTGCCACAGTGCCAGAGGGGGTTTAGCTTTAATTTTTCAGCTGCATCCATGAAGTCTGAGCAGTGTGAAAACCAGGAAAACAAAAGCAAGCACAGTCCTGAGAGTGTGTGGGGAGTCAGTTCTTGGAGACTACACAGAGAACAGCAGAACGATCTGTTGGAAGAGGTTTCTCTCATCTCAAACGCATCAGGAAATAAACTTCTGGGGGACATGGCAAAAGCCAAGACATTGCAGAAAGCTATTAACAGTGTCACTGAAGGAAAGCTTGGGAATTAGATGTGAGTTCAGGTCAGAGCTTTCTGTAATTGATAGTATAGCATATAGGTGTAAAAGTTAGTAGTGCCAAAAATATTACAGGGCTGAGGTATTTTATGGAATCTCCAGGATCATGAAAAAATCTGATGCATGGTCACAAATAAACACAGAGATGAAGAAAATGGATAAGTGGATATGCACGAAATGTGTCAATAATTTCTGCCTTAGAGAGAAAAAACAGTGATGATGGGTCAGATATGGTGGACCTGTTGGATCATCCAGGGTACTCTGAGACTGCGCTATTAGAGACGCTTCTATTAAGGTATCTCGTAGGAAAAAGTAAAACTTTATTTGGCAGATACGGGCCTCCAGAAATGGTCATGTTTTGCATCAGTTAATACTTAATTAACAGGACTTTGCAAGATTTTGAATAGCTGGCGAATGCCAGAATTCTTCAGTCCAATGATTTGAACCAAACTGGAGTTAAGCGAGTTAAAAAGTTACATATATATTTTTTTTTTTATATGTGTATAAAACCATTACAGGCTCTGCAAAAGATCAGTATCTCACTCTGCTGGGCTTAAGGAGGCTGCCTTTAAGGCACTGATCATTACCATCTGAAGTTTTGCTCAGAAGGCTGAGAATCAGAGTGCCTTGCTTATTCAGATCTGGGCTTGGGAAGCTGAGCTCATCTTGAGGCACAGATAGATAGTTGGATAGATAATAATACATGTACAAACCAAAATGATAGCTGATGAACTCAGTTACTACAGACTATGTGGCTGATGACCCCTAAATGCTGTTTCAGTGGGGGCTGAGCATTAGCTGCAATGGGAGAAGGATTTCTGTTTGCAAAAGGGGGAGATGTAAAGGGCTTACACTTCAGGTTAACATATTCTCTTGGTCTTTATTTCTTAGATTAACAGCCTGTTCTTCAATCTCCAATCTCATTATAGGCCTGTGAAACATTTCTTTTAAAAGAAGGCCATGACAATTACTGATGATGAACCTGAGGATGTCGTTTAAGTAGGGGAGACTTGTAAATGTCTAGCATGTTGCTGATGTCATGAATACTGCTTAGATCAGATTATTCTTTAGTTCTTCCAGTTCCCCCAGATTGTGCCATCCTTGCTCCACGCTTCCTCCATCTGCTTGCAGAATGCCCCACTCATTCATTACTTTAGACTTATATCTGGGACAGGGACCTTTTATTCCCTTTCTGTGTGTCAAACCCAGCTGGCGACCAAAGTCATCAGCTTCTTAACGGTGGTGCAAAGAAGTCATCAACACTGCAACTGTAATTGTTTGCCCAGAGAGGTGGTAGATGCCCAATCCATGGACACATTCAAGGTCAGGTTGGAGGGGCTCCAAGCAACTTGTTCCTTTTGAAGATGCCCCTGCTCGTTATACAGAGATTGGACTAGAAGATCTTTAAAAGTCTCTCCCAACACAGCCTATTCAATGATTCTATGATTTTTTTAAGTCTCTCACTATCTAAATTTTCCCCTTTTGGCCGCGATTAAGGGTAGCAACATCCCTTCCCCCTCCAGTGGGAGGTGGACTTCTATTTTGGGGGCTGCAATAGCCAGATCTTGCTTAGAAAAAGACCTCATCAGGACTGCTGCTTTCACTGCTGCAGTGGAGAGTTCTGGCATGTCCCACACTCGTCTCAGGATATTGAAGAGGAAGAGATGATGTCACAGCACTGGACAGGGCAAATGGAAGGCACCCATGTGTGGAGCGTTACTGACGATTGTTATCCTTGGTTGATTGCTATCAATTCTTCCAAATGCAGCGCCAGTTGAAGTGATAATGACTCCTCTTTCAATAGCAACTTCTATTCGAAGTTTTTTGATATGCCAGTAAGAGTTGCTTTAAAATGTCAGCAATAAACACACATTCAAAACAAACCACTTAATGTCGTACCTGTAAAGTCTGTGTGTCTTCCCATCAGCTGTATTTTTGATTGCATAAATGCATGAGCAATACTGCATTTGCCACAGCCTGCCTTCCACACACAAACACACACTCACGTATGCATGCACACGCAAGTTCTCTCTTCCCTGCTTTCTGGAGAGATCAGATTGATAATCCCCAAGAGATGCAGGCAGGCTGTATTCTTCCCACGTCACAGCAGCCTCGTTGTGCCATGTTTCTCCAAGAAAATGAACAATGGATTCCTCTCTTACAGACAGGATGCTCACAATGTCTTCTTGGGATTAGCCCAACAGGCAGAGTAAAGATCATTCTGAATATCAAATGTCTTTGATATTCTTACTGAGTCATCTTCCTTGGGATGTGCTTTCTGTAGCACCCAAAGAACAAATACCAGACTCAAAGCCACAGGAAGTCCTGCAGTCGAAGCTCTTTCTCACCATCATCTTTTGGGTGAATATGGGTATCTCTGAGCCCTGTCCAGCACATAAGAAGATCTCTGGATGAGGAACATGAGAGGGCAGAAAGGGAAAAGAAGACAAGGTGGAATGGTTGAGCAGACCCAGCCAGATTTACACCTAAAAAGGAGCCCTCTTGGGTCTAAATTTGCTTTGCTGTGCCTCAACAGAGAATATTTACGTCTCTACCATGTGGCCAAACATTTTAAAGTCAAACCTAGGTGGAACTTACAGTCTTTTATGTATCTATTTTAAGCACTTAGAGATCTCCTCTAGCCCTTGAGACCTCACAGTCTTTAATAGAGTTGTCCTTATAGCCCTCTGCTAGATGTGCTCTTATCTTCACAGACAAGAAGCTGTTATTCAGTGGCCCTCAGTTATCCCACCAGATGGGACGCTTATTTTTAGGCACATATATTAAGATCCTAGTGACCACAAGCCTTGCTAACCACTGTCTCCTGTTGGTGGTATAACTGGAAAGCTTTGGAATGGGGGAGGCACCTCTGTTACACAAGGAATCTGGGATTGAAGCCCCCCCATTATCACAGAATCATAGAATGTGTTGGGCTCAGAGGGACTTTTAAATGTCATCTAGTCCAACCCCTGTGCAGTGAGCAGGGACATCTCTAACTAGATCGGGCTGCTCAGAGCTCCAGCAAGCCTGCTGCCTGGGGACACCATTATCATGGTGTCCTCAGATTTTGGCAGTCAATTAACGTGACGTGGAACATATTCATTGCCAAAACTTGTGTCTTGTACAATAAGGGTTTCAGAGTAAACACTGCAGGACAGTGTGTGCGCAGTTTAAGGCTTCATGGATGCTCGGAATTTTTAAGCCTTCTTTCTGGTCAGGTGGATTAATCTTATTTGGAATAGGTACACAACTATTTGCTACCAGGTCAACCGCTGAGCGTGATGGTCTGATTGGTATCTTCCTTTCATAAGAATATTGTTTTTTGCTGACCCGGTGGTTAGTCTGGATGAGTCAGTCCAGAGGCGTCTTTAGAAAACAAAGGCTGAAGCCTTGTCAAAAAGGATGTGTTAGTGTAGGAGGGTAATAATATCTAGGGAGATTTCACCCCAAGTTATCATGAGAGTTTTCATGAAGAATTCTTTTCTGCTTTGGGGTAATGGAAGCATGATGTAACTTCACCAGACCACAGACACCCAAAAGGGGGTCTCATTTTTCTTCCAGCTTGAAAGTTTGCAGAAACAATGCAACAACTAATGGCCCAACCCATGATTTTTAATTTTTTTTCAATGTGGTTCTAGTCACTGACTTGGCGGGGAGAGAGGAACAAATAAATGTCTTCATCTTTCCAGGCTTCATCAAGTCAGAGTTATGCTTGCCTTCTTGGAAAACAGCTAAGAGAGCTACAGGTGCGAAGGGCTGTCAATTTAAAATTAGGGATTAGTGAGTTCATCTCAGCAGGTATCTAAAACTCAACTTCCTGAGCCCACTTTGGCTTTTGTTTAACACTCATGGCTGTCACATTTCACTCTCACTTTGCATTGTCATTCCTCACAGGGCAGAGAAGAGCCCACTAAAAATGTTTGTGTGTCATCTGACTTGTGCCGATCCATCATGCCAAAGAACAGGTGGGATGGCTTCGTAAAATCCCTGCCATGACAGGCATTGTGACTGACAGGACATCAAGTTTTTAGGCTTCTCTGAAGATATCTAGGTGTCATCTATCAGTCTATGACAAGCAGGAAGACAGATCAAAGGGATGTGGTTTCTTCTGTGTGTGAATCAAGGGTGCGAATGGATTCACACGTAACACGTGGAAAAAACGGAGGGGAGAAGGATGGATCCCAAAGCCTCAGGTAGAACAAGACCGTGAGAAATGGTGTAGTTCCTCCTAAAACACCTGAAGCCCAAGCGTTGGTTGGATCAGAAAGGTAGAGTGGCAGAGCCTCCTTGTGGCTGCCCTCCAGACATTTTGCTCACTGTTTCCAGACCACATGGGGTCACCTTCCCGCTTCTGCACGGTTGCATCTCCTTAGTGAAGGAAACGATCTCCTGGGAGGTGAATCAGACCTTGTTCAACAAAATGCTCTTTGAGACACCTGTATAAGAAGGCTCGAGGGTCTGTTAAGGCAAGAGCCAGATTTTTCCCTTACTCCTGCACACTAGGAGTAACTTTATGTAAGTGTCACTGAGCTAGGCAAGAGCAGAAACAGATGTGGAGCAGAGCTACAAACAGGATGTGAAAATAAACTCATTACTCCATCTGCCCACTGTAAACAGCATGAAATTAGCAGCAAGCGAGGAATAAAAATCCAGACAAATGGCCTTTTAAAGCGAGCAGAGGGAGCTGGAAGGTCTGCTATTAGAAAAAGAGGCATGGAAAGCCCAAGCCATGCAGGACCTGGTGCGTATCCCAAGGTCCCTGGTCAGTCAGGGGGAGAGGGAGGGAAAAATCCCGTGGTGGAGAGCCCATGAGGTGTTATTTTTGAAGGCAAAAGCAGAAAGGCCACTCTGTCTTTGGGAAAGAAGACCTGACTTTGCTTTCGTCCCTGCCTGTGAGGAAGCACCATCTATTTTATAAGTCACGGAGATCTATTTTTTGTTTCCCCCCTAAGAGGAGCTCTCTTAATGTTGCATAAAATTACTTTCTCAGGGGTAGTGTGAGGAGGAAAACGTGGTGTTGTGTTGTCTCAGTTACAAAGCCATCGCTAAATAATAAAAGCCCCTGAATGATTTGGTTTTTAAGTGACACGATTGCGGAACGGGTCACTCGTGACGCTCCACTTCAAGTTGCTTCAAGCACCTCTGTCATAAAATCTGAACGGGGATGGTTTATTCTTCAGGCTTGGGCTGTAAGTATTCACCCCTGGCCTTTGTTCGATGAAGCAAATCTCAGCTTGAGGATATATTTACTTAAAATTTCGCAGGAAAATTTCTCAAATGGTCAATCTGCTTGATTTATTTAAAGCTGGATCCCAAAGTGTTTTACAGCTTTTACAGGCTGGTTGTGTTTATAACCAACCTGGGGAGTATCTTCTGCAATTCATGTAGCGGAGAGGAGGAAGGAGGGTCATAATTTCTATTTTAACCTACTTTTCTAGCAGCTGACACAACACTGACAAAGTCATCTCTTCTAGAATAAAACCTGCCATGCTTTATCCTCGTCCAGAGGAGATCCTTTGGAGAAAACCAGGGCAAAATAAGCACATTTTTTTTCCCGGCTATGGATTCTACTCAGTTATATGCATGGAAAATTCAGGGGTGTTTGAAAGCAGAGAATACGAGCAGCTTCATCTCATTTTATGGATCTCAGTGAAATTTCAGACCGAACAATATTTCAAGGAAACTCGTTCCTTGTGTTCAGAGTTCTTCAAGATATGACAGCCCAAGGCGGAGTTTTGTACATGTTGGAAATAATTTCTCTCCACATTTGGCAGATCCAAACAAGCCTTGAGTGCTAAATAAACCAGGTCTATGAATAAATCAGGGGTAGGAGAACTCAAATTTGAGGTGTTGGGAGATTTGAAATAACTAAAAGCTTGACGTTGGCCATGAGGCACTTTGAAATAGTCTGGAGTTCGATGAAAGGTTTTGCACTTGAGATGCCATCAATATATTTCGGGAGGAAACCTCCTGGTGGGTTCACCCAAAGTTTGTAATAAACGTAATTGAAATATCTGAACTCCAGCTGCTAACTCGTACTCTAATCAAGAACAACAGAAGCAGCTCCCTCTTAGCAAACGTCCTGTGACTGCTGAGGGAAGAGAAATGGATTTATTTGGCTCACACAATGAACTGGGAGGCCAGCAGAGGTAGGTGTAGAAATTCAGGGCAAGAGGGGTAGCAGGTGGAAAAAGAGACTTTCTGGAGAGATCAACAGGCTTTTAGAGAGAGGGGAGATCTTATAAAACCCTCAGAGAAGGAAATCAGTGCCCCACATTTTTCCCAAGAGAGACGATTTTCTAATATTGTCCGAGGTGGGTCTCACTAGGAACAGATCCTGAAGGGGCTCAAAAACCAGAAGGGTCTTTCACCTTATCTACCCTGTGAAGGGTAAGGTGTCCCTACTTTTCTTGTTTCGATCCAAAGGGAAGCCAAGTTTTGTTAGGGACAAGGAGTTCCTTTGGGAAGTGTTTGAGAAGTCCTCCTTCAAGGTCGTGACAGCAGTTTCTGGTTTTATAGCACATCAGGATCCAAAATTACTTTACAGGCACAGGGACTGATTCTCTCCTTCCATAAACCAAGTTTCCCTCCTCATCACTTCCCCAAGCCATGGTGCAATCATGCCTGACCTGTATCAACATGCTCCAAAGCATCACACCAACTGGAAGGAGTGCAATTTCTCTTGTCCTGCCCCCTGCCTCATCCCCATCACCTGGGTGCCACCATGTCGCACTGAGCACAGCTGAGCCCCTGGCCCTGTCATTGCCAGGGTGCAGCGATGCAGTTGTGAGCCTCAGAGGGAGCACATCTCCAGGATTCACTCTGGATGTGGCCTTCTTTAGAGACAGAAGAACATTTAATGGCATGGAAATGATCTGCTCTGGGCCATGGGGGCACAGCACCACCGAGCCCCATTGACCGTGTTTAATTTATTGGTGTACACACAGCAATAATATCTTCCTCCCATGCTCTCCTCTATCCTTTCAGCTTGGGGAAGAGAGCACTTTCAATTGTTTTTACAAGAAGAAATAACAGAAGATTGGAAAAAGCCAGGACGTAGAGGGGTGGGAAGAATGAACAAGGGAAGTCTATGGGCTGACTCGACGTAAAAACATCTCCATGAAGCCATTCATAGCTTCAGGGAGATATAGGCAGAGTTAAATTGTGTGCAAGGAGGAGGGACTGGGGTCTCCCTAGCATTGGTCTGCTGTTAACATCAGATGGGAGAAATGAGACAAAGAACTGGGAGATCAAAGAGCTTGGAGAGTTTTCTGTCTTTTAAGCAGCGAAGAACACAACCAAGAACTGGTCAAGTCTCTGCCACACACAATCCTCCTTCGAAACTGACCCCATCTAGGGTCACTCTCTGAAATCAGGAGGAACCTGGTCTCTAGGAGAGAGGTGACCTCTCCTTCTGGCTCCTTAGCTGGATGCACACACATCTCAACACCTCACTGCTGATGGTGGCCCAGCAATATGAGAGAGTTGGGTTGAAGTGCTGAATCTCAGGTTGTGTCTTGCCTCCTTAACATCCCTCCAGCTTCCTTTCACCCACTCCTGCTCCTCTTTGATGCTGCTGAGCCGTGCTGCAGCGAACTTGATCAGCCGGTGCCCCTCATCAGGGGGCAACTCATGAGTAGGAATGGCAAGCCTTAAATCTTCTAGTGCACCTGTTGGGGAAGGATCTGACACCTTAAGGTTTCAGAAGCAGTGTCATTGCTTGTAGAGTGGATGGTGATGATTTCCATCTCTGCATGTGAAGATGGAAATCCCAGCCTGGTCCAGCTCACAGGAGACACAGTTCGTTTCCCACCTGTGGCTGCTCCATCGCCCTCACGCCCCTTCTCTGTTTTTTTTGCAGAAGGTATGGCAGAAGCTGTCAGCTCGAGCAGGGACTGCCTTCAAGCAGGCGAGTCCTGCACCAATGACCCCATCTGCAGTGCCAAATTCAGGACCCTCCGGCAATGCATCGCGGGCAACGGAGCCAACAAGCTTGGTCCCGACGCCAAGAACCAGTGCCGGAGCACCGTGACGGCTCTGCTCTCCAGCCAGCTGTACGGCTGCAAGTGCAAGCGAGGCATGAAAAAGGAGAAGCACTGCTTGAGCGTCTACTGGAGCATCCACCACACGTTGATGGAAGGTCAGTCGAGCAGGGTACTCCTTCCTGATGATCTTTCTAAAGGGGAATTATGGTTGGGGCTTTCCTCAGAGCTCCACAGCACCAAAATGGCTGCAAAAAAGGTCACTTGTGTAGTATTCCATTCCTCCTCAAGACCTACTGACTCTCACATTAATGGCATTTTAGGGA